AAGTTCAACGCACCCCCGTGTCGAACTCGCATGTGGTCAAGACGCTCTGGCATCCGAAACTAAACCAGCTCTTTGTGAGCTGTGGAAACGGCACTATTAAGTGCCTGTACGACGAGAAACGCAGCATACGGGGCGCCACGTTGTGCGTGGTCAAGACCCACAGAAAGCGGCAGCAGATGGAGATGGTGGGCGTATCCCAGATTATCACTCCTCACGCTCTGCCGCTGTTTCGACACGAGAAGTCCCGCTCCTCCCGGAAGAAGATGGAGAAGGCTCGTATGGACCCTGTAAAGTCAAAACGTCCAGACTTGCCCATCACCAGCGGACAGGGTGGGCGTGTGGCCAGCTCCGGTGGTACGCTATCGTCCTATGTTATTCGCAACCTCGGTCTGAGCAAGCGAGTAGACGATGATCAGGATCCTAGGGAGGCCATTCTCAAGTACGCCAAAGATGCGGCTGAAAATCCATATTGGATAGCACCAGCTTATAAAGATACTCAGCCCAAGGCAATATTCTCGGAAAAACTGCCCACAGACAGAGACGAGCTGCCCATAAAGAAGCCCAAGACGGAAGCGGACAAATAATTAGTTAGCCAATTTGCATCTAATAAGTCATGTAAATAAAAATATCCACGTTTCATCTTTAGTCTAGCTTGTGTTTGTAAAAAACATTATGAACTAAGGGTTCTATGTGATCAGAGGGTTACTTCCTGCAGGCGATAGCAGTCCGAGGCGATCTTCCACTTGTCGTCCTCGGCAGTTACAATAAACGACTGCTGGAAATTCCGGATCGGCTGGTCGTGGTACTTGACAGTGCCGCTAGCCATTACTAAGTACGTTAGCTGATTTCCCACTGCAGCATCCAGTATCGGCTGGGCGTCTAGGGTGTTCATCTGATGGCTTGACGAAGGCAACTCCAGAAAATAGCGTTCGATCATTTGCCGTCCATTAGCTCCATTTCCATTCCAGCTGAAGACGGCATTTTCAAGGTACAGACGCCCCAATTGCTTTAATGTATTCCATTGTTTTGTATGTTATTTCGCATTGCAAAGAAGCCGCCGCCCGGCGTGGGGAACTTACATGGCGGCGATTGTCGAAGGAAGCGTAGTAGAGGCGCGTGAAATCCTCCGCTGTGTGTGCACAGCTTTCGACTTTGGTCTTCAGTTCCTGCGAACAAATTGTCCTTATTATTTACTAGTTAAATAGTTTACTTCAGTATCCATACGCTGTTCATATTGTTTTGTCCGGATTTGTAGATTACCCATTTTGACCCTCAAATGTATACCGAAATATACCGTTTTCTTTTCAAAATATACCGTAAATATACCGACGAAAAAGTTAAACTTAACCCATTGACCCACTGTTAAAGCCGTTAAAGGTTCTGTAGCATTTTAAATTGTAAAAGTGTATTAGCATTGGTATTTAAATAAATACTCAATGAACTATTAAAACATCTAAAACATCTATCTAAATTACAACATTTTATTGCGGCTGCTTCACGGTTGTTGTTGCTCCAGACAGCTCCACAGCAGCGAGGCATGACTGAACTCATAAGCCTCTGCAAAATTTAAATTGATCCGAAAAGGGGCATACACGGGCAAAAAGCGTCTTAAGAACCATATGATTCTATAATAATTGATTAATAGCATGTAACTTGATCCTTTGTGAAGTGGTGTGCTGAACAGAGGTAACAGTCCACAGAACACACGTGCAATTGCTAGCTTAAAGCTTAGAATACACAGGAACAAAACATTGGACAATTAAAGAACTAATCACAACTATAAAAATACATGTATTAACAAAAATGATTGAAATACCTCGACCTTTTATTTCCATATATTCATTTATATTTAATCTTTGAAATCGAGCTTAAATAAAATATGCAATGTTTCCCGCAATTTTTCACAAGTCAAAGCACCTCTGGAATCAACTGACTTTGAAAGCGCTCAAAAATATATGGTACTCCGTAAAATCTTCTAAAACCAGTTTTATTCCAACTTGATACTTAGGAATCAGAAAGTTTAAGTCGAATTCAAATATTTTACCCAAAAGAAAATTACATTAATTCCAAATATTTGGGTAAAAACCCATATATATATTTTATTTGATAGACGAATATATTTTTCTACGGAATTTGACTCAATTTTTGCTGGTCAGCGCTGGTTTAGCTATAAGCATGGACATTTTTCCACCGTTTATCCACTAACACTATCCGACACGATTTTCCCTCAAGGAAAGCTTAAATCCCTTCATTTGTTGTAAAATACAATGTAAACGAAAAGAGACTTGTAAGACGCTTCGTACGCGTCACAACTTTTTTACCCGGTACTCAGTTGGTATATCTGTTACCTTATTGTTTAATTTATACCCGGTACTCGAAGAGTAAATAGGGTATATTGTATTTGTGGGGAATAACGGTTGTATGTAACGCACAGAAGGAAGCGTTTCCGACCCAATAAAGTATATATATTCTTGATCAGCATCAATAGCCGAGTCGATAGAGGCATGTCTGTCTGTCCGTCTTGTTTGTCGGCTAGTTCTCAGAGACTATAAGAGCTAGAGCCACCAAATTTTGGCTCCGGACTGCTGTATGCTCACATTGAAACCAGTGTATTTCAAAAATGAGCCACGCCCGCTTTCGCCCCCGCAAAAGGGCGAAAACCTCCCAAATCAAAAATTTTGAAGATAAAAGAAAACTAAAAACGCCATTCTGTAGGAAATGGCCATATCTATCAGATCACCACATTGGAATCCGATCGGATCATTATTATAGCCACAATGGAGTAATTAATTTCCAGTGGCTAAACCCCTGATCACGCAGCTTTTGTTGCTCTTTTTACATTCTCTCATTCACACTCTGCTTTTGCTTCACTCGGCCCCTGCCTCTGCCCTCCCCCTGCCGATTCCTCTACCGACTTTTAACCCACCCCGTCCCGCAGCTTATATTTTTTTTTTGTGTGCGATCGCTGCCTCTGCCTCTTTCGCGTTTCTGCAGTATGTTGGTCTAGGGAAGGGCGGCGAGCTAAGGGAGCGTGTTGGTGTGAGAATTGTTGTAGATGTGGATGACAGATGAAGAAAAAATTTAAAATATGACAAAACACCGCTGATTTGCCGATGCACTATTGTCCCAATGACCAGTTTTGGTGTCTGTTTACGCGAAATTAGCGCAAAGGCCTCATGGCCGGGAGCAATTAGTATTTTGTATAAGTAAAATGAATTTTTAGCATTAAGATATTGAATTGTTGCATTTACGACATACTCACCGAAGTTTGTTGCTATGGAACATACATGTAACATGTGAGAAAGAGGAGGAACATGCATTTAATAGGTGAATATCGAAATTGAAAAGAAGAAGAGATTAAATTGATTTGAATTCCGACTCGGCCGAACAGCAGCACTTGGCTTTTTATTTCGAGATTTTGATTCTGAACTGGTTGAGAGGAGTTTGCGGAAACAGTGGCCAAAAGCTAATTTCTTAAAGTTTAAACCAAGACTCGGTTTTTAACGCTCTGTATTAGAAAAAGAGTGACCATCAAAGATGCGTATAAGAAATTTTCATAGAAACTTTCGAAAAATCTGCTGTGAAACCTAGCGGTCATTATTGCACAGAATGTGCAGGGAAAAAGTACCAATTTTATTGCTGTTTTAAATATCTCATAAATTGGAAAATACGATTAACTGATTCAATTTTTTTGATGCATTTTATTTAGTAGGCTTTTTACTTTGTGTTCTGTAATGTGAACGATATCTAGTGGTTGGCGATGTCTTCTACATCTAGATGTAGTCCTGAGTGCCGGGTATAAAAGTTGTGACGCGTAAGAAGCGTCTCACACGTCCCTTCTCGATTAATTTCATATTTGAAATTTTTAATTTTTTCTACATCTGTCATTTACATCTAGATAACTTCTTACACCAACACGCTCCTTTAGCTCGCCCCCCTTCCTAGAGCCGCACACCACACGAAGCAGAGTGTGGAAATAGAGAATGTATGAATGGGCGGAGTGGGTTTAGCCACTGCAAATTAATTTCTTCACCCAATTCGGTGATCTGATAAATATAGTTCTTCCTTACGGAATGGCGTTTTTAGTTTTTTTTAATCTTCAAAATTGTTTCTGTGGGAGATTTTCGCTCTTTGTGGAGGCGGCAGAGGACGGGGCTTTTTGATATGCTGTGGTTTTAGTGTGAGCATACAGCAGTCTGGAGGCAAAATTTGGTGGCTCTAGCTCCTATAGTCTCTGAGAACTAGCCGACAAACAAGAAGAAGAGACGGACGGATGGACAGCCGGACGGACGGACAGACATATTCGGTTATTGATGCTGATCAAGAATATATACTTTATGGGGTCTTGAAGCGATTCCTTCTTTGCTTTACATCCACTTTTCCCCTCTTTACTCTTCGAGTACCGAGTTTAAAAATACGTTTTTAAAAAAGCTGTAAAAGGGAACTCTGCCATAGAAAACAAAAAAAAAGTATTGTAAAGCATGTTTAAAGTCCCAAATGTATCAAAGGGTGTAGGGTGTGATATAATTCGATCGTTTAGGAGTTATGAGTGCAACAATTTATTGAATTCCTTTTCACCTTTAGTAAGCTGAAATCTCCCACTTTGGAACGGGTCTGAGGCTCGCCTGTAGCGACTTCTGTCTCGGACAGCAGAATAAAGGGAAATTGAGACTCAGCTTTTTGGTCGCCTATCCTACATCTTGCTATAGTGTATGTATTGTGCTATGTATCATGCATAGAGCAACTTTGAAACATTACCAGTTGGGCATCAGATCGTGCATATCCATCGTCCATCGACATGTCGATTATGTTAATAGACTGCTATGTGTGTACATATGTATGTATATGTACACATGCATGCATGTATGCATGGACACATGTATATATGTACGAGTATACTGGTTTAGAAAATACATTTTCTGATTTTGAAAAATAAAACCAGTTAATTTCATCTAAACTAACTTTACCATTTAGATATTTACATATGTATGTCTGTATTATTTTATTAAAAAAGAGATACATTTTAAAGCATTTTTATCACAATTTTAATTGATAAACGTAGTGCGTGAAGATTACCATGTTGGAATGACTGATGAACACTGGAAAATCTATAGATTTAAAAACCTGCAAGGCACTACGAATACAGCTAAGAGTACGCCATATAATAACTAAGCAAACTAATTATAATCTTAACAGGCCTGTATAAAATCTAGTCCCCTTAAGAGTAATTTAAGCGCTTTCCGTTGCGTTTCCTTTGAGTGGTTGTAGGGACGTGAGCTTTACCGTCTTGTATCCACGGTCCCGACGGAACCACAGCCAGTTTTTGGCATTGAAATAGTCCTCGATGTGCTCCAGGCTGCGACCCTTCGTCTCGGGCTGAAATAGGCACATAAAGATGGTTAGCAGGAAGCTGGAAAAGCCAAATACCAGAAAGACCCCTCTCATCTTTAGCAGCGACTGTAGGGCAGGGAAGCCTTTGGCAAAGATGAACAGTGCCACGTTCATGGAGGCAAACACTCCGCCCGCCGTCCGGCCACGAATCCTGGCCGGAAACAGTTCACCAATCATGATGCCCGGCATCACCATTAGCGCTGTGTTGAAGACGATATAGCCCAATAGGCAGCCACCAGCCACCAAAACATCGTACGACATCTTTGTATGACCCACCCGAGCGTACATGAAGCCACTCAAAGCCAGGCAGAATACGCCCGAGCCGATACCAGACAGGATCATGATGCGACGCCTCCGCACAAAGATTAAAATTGCACAGAACATCATACAGCAGACGACCCGAACAGCAGCCGTCCATATCGCAGCCTGTTTAGTATCAAAGTCGGCTCCGAACTCCGACACAATATCGATGGCATAAAATATCACAATGAAGGTGCCAGAGAACATCTGCAGGAGCGAGAACACAATCACGATGAACAGAGGCTTAATAGCAACCCGCTGACAGCACAGACTAAAGATATTCTCGTTGGTCTTGGTCGTGGCCCGCTCCTTGTCCAGCCTCATCTTCATTTCATTCACCTCCTTCTGGGCACTGATCCCGCTGCCCCTGAGAAAGATCAGGGCTTTCAGGGCTTTCTTCTCATGGGCGTTGCGCAGCAGCCAGGCCGGCGTCTCGGGGATGCAGTAGATAGAGACGACAGCGAGGAACGGCAGTACGTTGGCACACCAGGCTACATTCCTCCAGTACATTAGCGAACCCAGTGAGTAGACAAGCAGTATGCCACATGAATACGCTACGTAGGGTGCCCCAATCAAAAGACTTCTAAGATTGGGTTCCGCTGTCTCGGCTATGTAGACCTGTGGGAGTTGACAGAGATTTAACATTAAGCAACTAATATTAAGCAACACAAAATGGTATCTTGATCAAAAACTAAAATCAAAATACCAATTGTTGAATTGTAGAAGTGACCCAACTAAGCCCTGACCTAACACAAGAAGAAAAACATTTTCTGGTCGCAGACAAACAAACTATTTGATGAAATTGATGGTCACAAAAGCATCAACATCATAATCCTAAGTCGAAATCTCAATATTAATCTTCTGAATGGGGGAACTCTTGGGTGGTAATCATAATATCGTAAATCAAACCATTAAGAAAACGAAAAATTGTTGAGAAGACACACACGCGCAACAGTCGCATTAAAAAGGCATCCATCCCATTCCCCATCGCACACCCACCCACCACTCTCATGACAATAATCGCAAAGCATTATTGTAGACTAAGGTCAAGAATCCGGAACTGGAGCGGTTGTGTGTGCGGAATGATTGTGCTAATGCAAATGATGCGCGGCCATTTCAAGTCGACACTGATGAATTGGAATGACGAAGACCTCAGCGCTTATGTGTCCGGCTATCGGTATCATTTTGGCCGCAACATAAGTCACGGACAAATCCATAACATACGAGTAAATAAATAAACAGCCGGCTTACTCGCATTATCACAGACACAATGGCAGCCCAGCTTGGACAACTTGTCAGCAGCTGTCTGTCCCGCACACGGTATGGTTCAAGGATGAGCCATTTACGGCCATTTATGGGAGGAAAAGTGAATGAACTGATGATAGCGTTCTGAACGCACATACACAAAAGGATAACTCACCTGTCCTGGTCCGCCCAGAATGCCAGTGGCAAAGCCGCACAGAAAGCGTGCAAAAATCATAATTTTAATGCTCTTGGCTGTGGCCAGCGTGGTCCAGCCTAGAAAGAGGGGAATCACCGAAACCAGCAGAGTCTTGCGGCGTCCCAAATAGTCAGCCAGGGGCCCGGACAGCAGCGAACCAAAGGGCGTGGCCAAGCTGTGGACACTCGCTAAGGTTAAGAGAGAGAAGAAATTAATTATATCCAGAATCTTATTCAGACTAGAAGGATGTACTAAGGGTAACCAACAGCACAGATCTTGTCGCAGTTTATAATTTTCGCCTCAACATACCTATCCACGAGCCTGTATTGACATCAATGGGTATCTCTGTGGTATTTCCATCACTTAGCTGGGGCAGCAATACCGCTGAGAATCCAATGGGCATGCCACAGCCGGCGGACAGCAACAAGACCGCGCAGGTGGCCAGAACCTGGAAAAATCAAACGAAAATGTCAATCAAAAGGAATCATACCATCAAGAGCTCAATTGAGTGAAAATGCAACAAGAGTCCCATGCTTAAAATATCATGCAAAATAATTGGCTTTATTTGAAGTTGCGACTCATAAACCACACGCCGTTCGATGTAGTAGGGTATCCGTTCCATGAACATGAGACCATTTATGATTTCTGGTGATAGTGATAAACGATCTCGCGACTGGTTCTTGATTGCCCTTGCTGCTACATAACCAATTAAATTGTTTTGCGGGCACGTTAAAGTAAATGAAAGCCAATTCAGCCCCAATCGATTCCATTCAATTTGAGCGCCTTCATCACATGAGTGCCACATGTAGCCCCCACCAATCGCGTTTCATAGCATTGTGTAAAGAAATTTTAGTTCAATTCCGTATCTTATCATTTTGTCGTTCACAAAATATATAGGTAATATCTTCCACGCCTTCGCATGTCTCGTCAGTACCGAACTTTTACAAATCTTTGACAAGGGACTGACCAGATTGTAGAGTTAAGCAATGTGAGCATTCCCTACGGAATAAGTTTTATCTTTAAAATTGTGGATACAGCAATATATAAACTTTATGGGGTGGGAAATGTTTCCTTCTGTGCGTAACATATGTACATCCACTTTTCATCACAAATACAATATAATCTATTTACTCCTTGCGTACCAGGAATAAAAATGACACCTGACGAAATTTCCCATTTATATTGACAAAGCATGTCCATTTAGCTTCAAAGTCGATATAAAATTGGCTTACCTGATTTATCATTCCTCTTCGATTAGCCTTTTCATAGTCCTGCTCATCGATGGTCGATAGCTTCCTAGAGTTTTGGTGGACTAGTTTGCACTGGAACTCAGTTCCGGGCACCACACTATAGTCAAGTTTGTTCGGCATAAAAGTGCTGTATACGTCATCCCTGTTTTTGAAGTAGGGAGGAGACAAATGTAGTGGATTTAGTACATACATAAATTGAGTCGAAAGAATCAAAACAGCTTACAGTTGTAAGTACATACGTACATAAGTGAAATATTAAAAAATAACATCAAAGGCAAGTTGTTTCTAAAACTGTGTGGACCAATTAAGATGTAGCCAGCATAAATATATTTCTTGTTACAGTTTTCTGTATTTAACTTTATCACATTTCACGGCAGTAATTCAAAACCTAAGCAATTAGTTATGTATTGCTATCTTAAATTGCCCTAACCATTGCAATTGTCGGGGATCAGGCCCTACGATTGTCTGGTCTGGTCTCTTATCGGTTCCATGGTAATTAGACCGCTTTTAGCACGCCACTCGGTGAGATTGTACTTGCACCTTTTTCATTTATTGTTGTACTCGTCAATAAACTTGAAAAATTAATTTTTTTTGGATTAGTCACTTAAGTTGCTCTCTCTTTCCAGCACGCAAAATAGAGCGCGGGCAAATATGGAAACATCTGTGGATATAGGGCCGCCTGAGAGAATGGGAGGAAGTGTAGAGGTTAATGCCTACGTTACAAATTTAGCGTTTGAGTTTCTGTTGGCTCTTGCTACGCGATGATAACGCAAAAAAAAAAAACGATACAAAAAACAAACTAGTATTGGTATTTATTATTATTATATCCCTTTTGGTTTGCTATTATTTGTGCGTTTGGAGGTTCAATATCTACATTTCGAACTACATTTTGGTGCCAAGGCCATGAGTATTCTTTAAGTATTCCAATAAGTGCTTGCCTTGAAGATATATTGTACAACTTTTAGCATTGGCCACACCATACATCCGTTCTTCGTGATACGCATATTAACAGAATACAGTAATGCAGCCCTTTTCGGCAAAGTAACAGACAACAATCAGAAATTTCGGGGGAAATGGTTAGACTTTGATTAAGGAAGTATCCAATATTCCAAATCAAAACACCAGGCATTATATTATGTGGCGTACCAGAATGGCGTACCATAATATACAACATAATTATTTTTTAAGCGGCTTTGCTACTATGTCACCTAAAGATGCTTTTTGATAAAGAATCGCACGATGGACTTGCCATTCTAGGTAAACCAGTTAAATCGCAGCCAGTCAAATCTGTTTGGTTATCGATTTTTGGATGTGTGAAACACAAAATATTAATTAATTATTAATAGAAAAGGTATGATATGCTCTTACACTGTTGACGCCGCAACCTAAGTATTTAATAACAGATCACTCGCAGAGAAATCGCTTATCGCGGCATGAGTCAGTCCAATCAATAAGCACAAGCCTATTACTACGGGTAGCCATAGCCCGGTTCACCCGGCGTTTACCTACCAATTAAATTGCATCGCAGAATTGCGAAAGATAAGATAAAGCGGGCCAGAAGCGTGGGAATTTCGTTAGTTCCCTTACATAAAATTCTAAACGAGGACAATGGGCTTATCATCCAATTAATAAGCGGGTAATTTCTGGAGTACGCAAACCCAATTAAGGAACTTAAGAAGACATCAGAGCACACCGTTTGAGAATACGATAAATTTCACAATATTCTAAAAATATTTTATTTGATCAATTATGTGTTATGTTATCTTTAAATGCTTTTAAGGTTAATTAACAGTAACAAAGATTCCTAATAAATTTCAGTGGTAGCATGTTCTCGTATAGTGACAATTGATTGATCTGGTAATCAGTCAATTTCTAGATAGAAAGCAAGTACATATGCATGTATGTATGTATGTAGCACCAGGCAACAACATTCGTCATCACGGCTATTATTATTGTTAAATTCTAGAAAAGTAGGAGTATACAATGCACTGCGAAGTTATTTACTTTTAACTTTGCTTTTTTACCCAACAGCTTGGCACGTGTTTTTGTCTGCAAACCCCCAACTATCTAATCTCAGTCATATAAGAAATACAGCAAAGAATATGTTTTGTATTAATTTTTTTACAAATCTGCCCCTCTCCAAAATTTTATTGAGCAGCCAAGAACCAAAAAATCGCATTTGGCCAACGGAAACGAATTCAATTCACAATCATACATGCACATGTACATACATATATACATACATACTCATAGTACTATGGCCACCCACACTCGCTGAGATAGCACTGAATTAGGCGAATGCTATCGATGGCGGTGGTGCTGCAGAATACAGTAATCTCAGAATTGAAGCACTAGTGCTGTCTACCTGACCCTGACAACAGGTGAAGGCTAAACCCGGCAAAAAGAACCGAAAACTTGTTATATTTCATACGCTTAGAGGGTTTAAAGTCGAATATTGTATTTTTAGCTGTCCAGGCAGAAAATTCTCATACAGTTCGGATGAATATGAATTATTAGCACAATCGAAACAAATACACATGTTTGTACGTGAACATATTATGTTCGTAAATACGAGTTTATTCTGTATTACTTTGTTTTATTTTGCTTGAATTACCTTTCGACGCTCATTTTGACGCACAGATAGAATTCGCCTTCTTTGTTATGCACTTATGTAACTTGCACTTTCCAGTCCCGATTTAATTCGCCTGTTTAGACAACATTTGTTAAACAAAACACAACACAACACGCGATCGGTGTTACAGTTTGGCGCTTTTAATGGACAAACGTATAGAGACGCACCATAGGGCAGCAGAGAGCTACTAGACGATCGCACCTACAATTTTGATTTGAGCAAGTAGTTCAAAAACGGCTTTTATTTATGAGAATCGTTTGCCCGGCACGGCGATCACAACACGCACACATGCACGCAATTAATTTCGCTCTCTTCGCATTCCGTCTCAGCTCGGACAACAATAACAACGACAATGAGAAGGGACGTGTGAGACGCTTCTTACGTGTCAAAACTTTTATACCCGGCACTCAGTACAAAATCTGCACCTTAGCGGTTATTTCAAATTTTACATTTTTTCTTCACTGTCATCTACATCAACAACACTACTCACACCAACACGCTCCTTTAGCTCGCCGCCCTTCCCTAGACACACACACTGCAGACTCGCGGCAGAGGCAGGGCCCGCAAACAAAAAAAAAAAAAACAAATATAAGCTTTGAGACGGGGTGGGTTAAAAGTCGGAAGAGGAATCGGCAGGGGGAGGGCAGAGGCAGGGGCCGAGTGAATCAGAAGCAGAGTGTGAATGAGAGAATGTAAAAAGAAACAAAAAAAGCTGCGGGACAGGGTGAGTTTAGCCACTGGAAATTAATTTCTCCATTGTGGCTATAATAATGATCCAATCGGATCCCAATTTGGTGATCTGATATATATGGCCATTTCCTAAGGAATGGCGTTTTTAGTTTTCTTTTATCTTCAAAATGTAGTTTTGGGAGGGTTTCGCCCTTTTGAGGGGGCGGAAGGGGGCGTGGCTCATTTTTGAAATACGCTGGTTTCAGTGTGAGCATACAGCAGTCCGGAGCCCAAATTTATTGGCTCTAGCTCTTATAGTCTCTGAGAACTAGCCGACAAACAAGACGGACAGACAGACGTGGCTCTATCGACTCGGCTATTGATGCTGATCAATTCTGTGCGTTACATACAACCGTTATTCCCCACAAATACAATATACCCTATTTACTCTTCGAGTACCGGGTATAAAAACAGCTGATCAAAACACGGCACTATGGGAAATTGTACCACTTTTTCTGACCGGAACTCTTTTTTCAAAAGTACCTGAAATAATATATTTTTAACATATATCTTTAAAGTTGTGTAGTCCAAATTTTAACATTGACTGCCACTGTTAAGTTAACATTTTTGTGACATAGCTGTTAGCTCCATAAATAAAAAAATATTTCTTGCCACTTTTAATTGGTATACAATTTAATACAGTTTAAACAAATAAAGTTCAATTTTTAGAGACGCTTTATTTTCTTTTATTTTCCGTAATATGTGTTTGTGTGCTTTTCTGTGCTTTTTATGAGAAATTAAAATTTATTGGAAATAACCTAAGGCTTGAAAATTCAGGGTTGTTGCAATGTTGAAGTCAGTGAAGAAGAAAATTGCATATACATATGTCGTTGCAACAACAGCGTCACATAACGGTTTCTTGTGGCCTTCTTGCGAACTTGTGCTATTTCGCTGTTCCATCTCGAAAGCTTTTGCGGCCAAGCAAAGACCAGAACCACAACGCATATTACACCACTCGACAAAATCAAACTTTTTTTCCTTTAGGAACCAAACCTAATTTTCTGATCTATTTCGGGTATTAAAATGTTGTTAATTAATTATGGTTTTTTTCGGTTTCTCTTTTCAAATTACTTAAGTAACTTAGATCTGACTGTGAAAAACGTTCGTTGCATCAGCTTGATGCAGCTAAAAAGGTTCTAAACACTTTGTGGTTTTAGCTTACCGTCTGGGAAATATTAAGCTTTAAATGCAAAAATGTTGATTTGTGCTTCGTTTAAGGTACTTTCATCAAAATCTATAGAAAGACGCCCTTAATTAAAAGAAAAAATAAAAAAAGAACGTTTTTGGCCAGAGTAGTTCGATAAAGAGTTCTTTTACACTCTTTCGTCATGGCACCGTTTCTGAGTTTTAACTCTAGAAAACATTCCAGGCAATTTTATACCCGGTACTCGAAGGGTAAATAAAGTATATTGTATTTGTGGTCGGAGCAAAGGGCGTAACGCACAGAAGGAAAGGTTTCCGACCCCATAAAGAATATACATATATTCTTGATTAGCACCAATAGCGGAGTCTATGTCTGTCTGTCTGTCCGTCCGTCCGTCTTGATGAGCGCCTGGATATCAGAGACTGTAAGTGGTAGAGTCACCATATTTTGTGTGAAGACACATGTGATATGTTAATGTTACTTATTTAAAAATGTATAAAAACTCAATTTTTTAGGAAATGACTATATCTATCAGATCTACGGATCATTATTAAAGCCAGAATGAAGAAATTAATTTGCAGTGACTACCCCCATCTCAACCCCCATCCAGCAGCTTTGCTTATGCATGCTTTTTGTTGCAATTCTTTCTGTTTTCTGGGGGAGAGTGGCGGTCTAGAAGGGCGTAAATGGTGTAAAATTAGAAAAAAACCACTTAGGTACACATATATTGTCTGATGTCCGGGTATAAAAGTTATGACGCTTACGAAGCGTCTTACAAACGTTCCTACTCGTTATGGGTACATATGTAAATTATCTTTATGTCGTAATGGTCCGAGCTGCGGTATGCGTTGCGTTGGCTCCGGCGGCAGCGATCGGGTTCCCTTGGGCCGCTCTTGTAGCGGGGGACGGTGGTTGCGCAACCGTTGACTCAGAAGATGGCTTCTAATACAACTCTCCCATTGACGGGAGATAAAGCAACCGGGAATTCCGAGTTGTTATATTAATATAATTATGTGCAAAATGCTGAGCACAGTAAATAAGCAGGTTAAGATTTGACTTCGAATGAAGATTTGGATTTGGCTTTGATAGCTGGCGAGCCGGCAGCGCACAAAAGAGCCGCCCGCGCACAAAACAAAATCATGCGATCGCTGCAACGGGATCTACTGCATCGGCGCCCTCAGTATCAGACTGGATAAGTTAAGGCGGCTAATGATAATTCGTATTTCTTATGCCCTAAGTTAGGGTGGCACATGAACATTCGTGTTTAATTTCTTACACGTTATTTCTTATGTGTTAACTACTCCCCCCTTAAATCATCTCCGTTCTCGGCGATACCTATCTGTCTGATGACATTTTGCAACTTTATTGAGGAGTTTCTCCGACTCCAGCATTGATGTAATAGGATAAGGCCACAGAGCATGAGGCTAGCCGCCAATCAGCGTCGACGCTGATCGTTGCTCGCTGCCCATTTATGATGATTATGCCATCGGACGAACGGAGTTCGTTGTGGCGCACCCGCTGACGGCTAGGATCCCCTCCTCGCTTTCCGCCACGACATTGTCGTGCATTTGTAGCACGGTGTTTTTACGCGCTACCGGAACATTAGGACCTTCTTACAGGTAATATTAACCTGGGGGTATTCTACTATATGAATAATAATGTGGTAATGACAAATTCTTATATTTGATACAAATTAGCTAGCGAGTCCCTAAGGATCTGTTTAACATTTTCTTGGGCGGCCCTATTGGCGCGATTGTGTTCGGTTGTAATTATCTCCGCCTGCTCGCTTGCATCTGTGATATCGTTCACGAAGTTTTTGCAATGCCAAAACTTGGTTTCTGGGAACTCAAGCACCAGAGCGTGTTGGGAGGGTAGCTAAAGTCGGAAGACCACCTCCTTTACTGACTTAATTAGTGAGTCCTTATAGTTAAAGTGAATAATGTGGCGGGTTTTGCCGCCGAAAATTATTAAGCTTCACCGTAGAGACTGGCTTGATTCTTCCAGAATTATTCGGTTTCTGAAACAGTTGAGGGGCTTATCCGTGGTTTCCACTGTGTAAGACAGAGAGAGCTCGCTGTGCACCGTGGCAGCATCGGACTGAGGCTCTTCTTGTAGGTTATTTATGTTTTGTCGGGACAGGGCGTCGGCCACGAAAATTTCCTTACCCGGCTTATAGAACAGCTTAGCGTTATGTTCCTCTATGAAGGCTTTCCACCGTTTGATTTTGGCATTTGTGTTCCTATCGGACACAGCAAATGTTAAGGGCTGGTGATCGGTAAAGATTCTTACTTCCTTGGTACCGTATAAGTAATTTTGTAACTTCCCTATAGCCCATACAATTGCCAACAACTCCCTTTCGTTTGTGGCGTAGTTTAATTCGCAATCTTTAAGTGTTCGCGATATCATTGTGAATGGCCTGCCGTTTTGGGACAGAACCGCCCCAATGCCACTTGCTGAGGCATCGGTAGTTAGTTCGAAGGGTAGTTTGAAATCAGGGTACGTAAGGATGACGTCCTCTGACGCCAAAATGTTTCGCAGACGGTCGAATGCGTTGCGTTGCGTTTCACCGAACTGAATCGCAACTTTCTTGGACATGTGTTTGCTGACTGTACCATTTTCTCCTTTGAGTAATGCGGTTAAGGGTCTCGCTATTGTCGCGAAATCTCTGACAAAGCTCCTGTAATAGCTCACCAGCCCGAGGAAGGACCTGAGGCTGAACAGTGTTTTGGGTTCAGTGTATTCCTTTATTGCCCTTACTTTTTCTGGGACGGTCTTGGCTCCTCCCTTGGTAACTATGAAGCCTAAGAACTCTACGCTTTCTTTAAAGAACTTTGTCTTTTCTGAGGCCACTCTCATGTTTCAATCGCAGAGGCGTTGTAGCACTTTGCCGATGTGTTTAGCGTGATCATTTTCGTTTTCGGAAAAAAATTATTACATCATCTACATAGACATAACATATTTTCCCAATGTGTTCTCGTAGAACATCGTGGATTGCCCTTTGGAAAATGCTCCCATTCTTTAGTCCAAAGGGTAACCGGCAAAACTCATATTTCCCTCCGTTAATTGAAAACGACGTTTTTTCACGGTCTTTTTCCGCCATGTGTATCTGGTGGTACCCTGATTTTAGATCTAGGGTAGTAAAAAATCTTGCCTTTCCCAAGTTCGCTATTGCTCGGCATAGGGTATCGATCGGCAATTGTTCGCTCGTTCAGTTTTCTGAAGTCGATTACCAGCCGCTTTTTCCTGTTGCCTTTGACGTCAGATTTCTTTTTGTCTACAACCAAAATTGGGCTGTTGTATGGCGACCTAGAGGACCTGATTATGCCGTCCTTCAGCAGTTCTTTGACTTCTTTGTTAACGAAGGCTGCTGCTCCCATAGGGTAGGGGTATAATTTCGAGTAGACTTGTTCGTCATTCACAGTTCGGATGGTGGCGACGACTGAGGAGTTAAAGGGAAGCGCCTCGTTAGAGGTCGAAAAAATTGTAATTCTCTTCAGTATCATCTTTTTAAACTCGGATTTACCGAGCCTGGGACCACCAGGTCATCGACTTTGGTGAAACTTAAATTGTAACAGTTGTGGAACCAAAGTTGTTCAGTAACGTTTCCGTATCTGATTGTTCTGCTGCGCAGGTTCAATGCCGCTCCCGCTCGCGTTAGCAAATCGGAACCTATAATGGCATCGAACGTAGTTAGAGTGTCTAACAAAAAAAATGGGTCGTTTTGCCCGAAAATATTCATTAGGCACTTGTTTTTTATTTCACTGGAGCCATGTATCGAGCTCATGGTGAAGGGGGTGTCGACCGAAGTTACGTTTTTCAGCTCCTTTACGGGCTTTACGTAATTTTTAGCCGCACCAGTGTCGATTACAATTTTTAGTTTTCTGCCAGCCAACTGTCACTCGACAAACGGCAATTGGGAGCGCTCCCTAAAAAAATTCAACAGGTCGTTGCCGCTAGCCGAGTCACTTTCTTCGTCAATATCCGCAACCGCGGCCTCGGCTAAGTTTGCATAATCTTCTTCCCCTTGGTTAGGGGCCTGCTTATTATATTATTTATCCGTTGGCGTCTTTGCCCAGATATACGATCTGACGTGTTACGCCTTTTCTGAGCTTCTCCCTGTGTGACGTCGCTTTGTGGTTTCCTCCAATTGGTCTGTTGCCTCAACCTAGACATCGATGGGTCAACCTCCATAGGCTGCACTTGGTTTTCTTGTGGGGCCTCTTTATTGTTTGGCTTTGGCCAATGATCACCCTGTTTCTGGCTATTTTGATTACTTTTTCCCACAAAATGTGGGTTCTTTTCCTGACCTCTACCTTGCCTGGCCTGGGCCAGATGACCCTGTCTATTGCCGTCGCCTGAATGGTTTTTTCCTCGATCGCCTTTGCATACGTAGCGGCAAATGCGCTTCTCTCAATGGTATTTTCGGCCTCGCGTGCTAGAGCTAAGGCGGATGGCAAATCCTTGGGCTGTGCCGGGAAAACGAACAATTTTAGCGGCCTCTTGAGGCCCGCTAAGAATGCGTGTAAAGCATCATTCCTAAATTCCTCGTTGAGAATGGTAGCTGCCTCCTCATTATGAGTCATGACCACTTTGTTAATGACGAGCGTGAGCTTTCTCTCGACTTCGTCATAATATGCCATTAGATCGGTTTCACCCTGCCTAACCATTTCCAAGTGTTGACGTAATACTCGTAGGGATGTTTTGTCCGCATATGTGCAATCAAGTCTAGCTATGATTGCATCAAAATTGAGCACCGTGTTGTGCGATGTGAGCAATGCTCGAGCTGTTCCACAGATTTTATTTTTGCCTCGTAGTGTGTCTGACTACCAGCGTAGTTTTTGAAAACTTCGCATGCATCTAGAGCAGATTGTCTCCAAGACACATATTCCTCATGATTCCCGTTGAAAGTTGGTACTGATTTTATGATATCTAGTTTCACTTAGAATTGAAACACATTTTATACTAGTGTCAATGGTCACTCTCTTATAAGTTTCCACCTGAGGGACACCTACAGTTAGGGCGCTCACACTATTTCTAACTTTTTCGAGTTCCCTGCCAAATTCTGCACTCAGTCGTCGTTCCTGTTCGACGAGGGCTGTGTTGATTGCGCCTTCTACTAACGCTTTTATCATGGCTGGATCCATTTTAAATTGATTCTGTACTGCTCTGACTGGGGGCTGGTACAATAAGTCTATGCTCTCTTCGCTGTCGTATTCGACCTTGTTTCTATAGTCCCAACTCATGAACGATCAGCGAAGGGGAAATAAAAATTCTCTCACAAGCTTTATTTTTTCCGAACAGTCACTTACATGTTATTTTTTCTTGGGGACGTGGATCCTAAATCCCGTTGGGCGCCAATTATCTTTATGTCGTAATGGTCCGAGCTGCGGTATGCGTTGCATTGGCTCCGGCGGCAGCGATCGGGTTCCCGTGGCCCGCTCTTGTAGCGGGGGACGGTGGTTGCGCAACCGTTGACTCAGAAGATGGCTTCTAATACAACTCTCCCATTGACGGGAGATAAAGCAACCGGGAATTCCGAGTTGTTATATTAATATAATTATGTGCAAAATGCTGAGCACAGTAAATAAGCAGGTTAAGATTTGACTTCGAATGAAGATTTGGATTTGGCTTTGATAGCTGGCGAGCCGGCAGCGCACAAAAGAGATAAGAGCCGCCCGCGCACAAAACAAAATCATGCGATCGCTGGCGCCCAATCAGATAAAAGAGCCGCCCGCTGCAACGGGATCTACTGCATCGGCGCCCTCAGTATCAGACTGGATAAGTTAAGGCGGCTAATGATAATTCGTATTTCTTATGCCCTAAGTTAGGCGGCACATGAACATTCGTGCTTAATTTCTTACACGTTATTTCTTATGTGTTAACTTGTTCATACATCCAGTCCACAAAAAATGGCTTAATGGTGAAACGTCTTACGTTTATCGCGATTGTTTAAAATACTTGAAACTGTTAAAAAAATCAACTTCACACCTAAACCAAACTAAAGAGAGATGGAAGTACGAGAGCCAAGAGTTTACGAACACCTTATATACAATATTATTGTATGCTTCAACTGGCTCAACTCATAGCGCCCTCTTCAAGGTTGTAAAGGTGAAACAAAGTGTCAGCTTCTCGCATTGTCTACGCAACCTCCCTAATCCCAAACTTCCTTCTAACAGCCCAGGTGTGACTGCAGGGGTTTCCCTGGGTGAAGTGGTTGCTGGACCCTGTAATAACTTCCAGGGCTTAATCGACAACTTGTGCTGTGGCTGCCAGAGTAAACTTGCCCCAAGGCGTAGACCCTGACGTAGAGCTGCACAAGTGCTAGGAATCAATATAAATCCTGCATACGTTCCGTGTTTTGGTACTGAAAAGTGCACAAGAATCATGGTCAAGGTCTTATTAAACAGCTCTATCACACTCTTTTGCACGCGACAGGACAGCCAATCAGAGACAGTCCGAGGGTTCACTAAAACTGAATACGATGAGCTTTTCATTCATAACAGTCCCGGCAACGGCAACGGAAACTGGCATAAAACGACGTCAACGACGTCAATAAAACGGCAGAAAGCCGCTTGCTGAACTGGAATGGAGCGTTGTGGAAATACATACATATGTCTTCCTCCAGAGATTCTAAATATTTCCAAAAATTTCTGCAAACGCCATTGTTGCTGGCATTGCTTCTCCTTTCCGCTGTTTCTAATTTTCGCTAAGCTGGAACGCATGCACAAAAACCTCGAGTGAATGCGACTGCGAGCGCTCGGCACTCTCTCACGACTCTCCCGCAGGCAACGCGTTTTCAGTGTCTAGGTCGAGGGAGCTTTCGTCGACGTAGCGAGTGTGTTCCTGCGTATGTATGTTTTAAGGTCGCCAACTCTTTCGGGGCCTTCAAACAGTTATGGTGTTGGCCGTTTTTCTCGTTTGTTGTTAAGCGAGGCTTTAGCTCAGAGATAGAAAAAAACATGAATACTTTGAAATACACATATGTTATATGTACATACATTTGTACTTTTAATATTGCTGGTTTATACAGTAGAGTTTTCATCCCACTCCAAAAAAAAAACACTTGATTATCATCTGATTACCTTTCATAAAGTTCAGTAAAGTTCCAGTAAAGTCATCTTCTCCCGGATTAAGCTTTAGTTGCAATCAGATGATTTGAGAACAGTTCGCCATTATGTTTCTACTGTTAACAGTACGGAATCCGTTTCCGTTTGGGAGCGTTTGAGCCTACTAGTTTTACCCTATCTTACCCAAAAACGCAGTTTTGCGCAGGAGCGAGTTGCCTGCAACGGTTCAGGGTTTCAACTACCCCAACAAAAGGAGACAGCAAGAGACAGGCATTGCAACGTGCCACGCGCACGGACTCACCCACGCCCACACATTCATAATTAAGTGAATTATTATTCAAGGACCAATTCAAGGAAAGAGAATTGAGAGCTTATCGCTGCATTGCCCTCGCCTGCTAGCAGATAGCAGCCCAGCCTACATCCACCCCTTCCCCCGTTCAGAATCCCGTTCGCAGTAAATCAAATTTAAAATCAAAAGCATCAATAAACTTGTATGGCTATGAGAGCGAGCTTTTTTTGGGACGCAGAAAAGCTCTCTCTCTCTCTGCTCTCTTGCTTTTGCAGTCCTGGTGTTGCTGCTTCCGCCTCGATTTGAGTTGCTTTCGAATGGTCCGCCTAATTTGACGTTTCCCTGTGGCTATATAATTTCGAGAAACGAAAAACTAATTCTTGCAAAAAGAATAACACGAACGGCAACAGCGGTGCAACAAAGGGCGTTCGAGCTTGAAGCGAATATTCCACAGCAACGGGCGGAACGTTTAATTTTGTAAGTAGCGTTTAACGCAAGGTTTTATATACTCGAACTCGTATTCGTATAACTGTGTGAGTGTGCCATAGCTGTTCTGGTGCGTGTGTCCTTCGGCCCTTTTGTACCAATGCGTTGGCAATGCTGAACCCAGAAAATATTTGAAACAATCAACAACCAAAGCGTGGCGAGCGTAATGACAGGTACATTTCGAGCTACGATCGTCAGTGCACGGTCTTCGGTCTTGGGAGGACGTTGCCAAATCTAATAAAATGGCGCATTCCGCCCATTCTGGCCACCCTTAATTTACTCTTTATTCCCAGCTAATGTTATTGCCATGCCAATTATTTGAGGATTCAGTTTTATTATCTACTACATGCACTGGCCTGATTCTGGCATGCATGAAAAATAATTCGAAGATCGCTTTTTACTCCTGTTTAAATTACCTTTAATTTATATTATCGTTTCCTGTGTCGGAATGGATAGTTCTGGCTGTGATAACGTTTGGCACAAGTTGTCTCTCCTTCCCGCTATCGGGAATGCATTGCCCTCCCCCAGTGACATCCACCACAATGCTTAGCCCCAAGCCCTTCATTCCGGCCTGAATAAACGCAAAATTAATTCCACCCTCTCATTCCCCCTTGGGGTCCTGGCTTTTTCTTGTTGAACCTTGGTTGTTTTTTACTGTCTTTTTCTAACTTTCTCTCTTGTGCTATCTAGCTTTCCTTTTATTGTTCCCTTTTTTGTTTTTACTCATTGCTATTGGTATGTAGTACATACATATGTCTAGGTCGGGTTTTTCTATATGTACATTGTTGTAGTTGTCGTGGCCTTTGTTATAGTTATTGTTTCTTTGTTGTTGTTACCTTAGCATCCTTACCCTTGGAATCTGGGCGCTTCCTCTGCTCTTCTACTGGCGTTTGTTCTCTTCCTGTGGGCCGTGCAGGACCGTGCGCATGGTTTCCTTCCTGTTCCACATGAAAGTGCGTAGTGTCCTTTTCTCAAAAGCGTTCGTTCTGTCATTGGTACGTCCCTGTCCGTGTCCGAGTCTTGTGCTTATGTGCTTGCACATTACCTTAAGTATTAAAAGTGCAATTGTTTTCAGATGTGAAAGAACCTACAAAGTTGTAGAAAAAGAGAGAGTGAACGATGATGGAAAAGGAAAGCAAAAGCAGGGTTTTGCAGTAATGTGAAGAACTTTGACCTTTGCGGTGTGGACCTGTTCACCTCTCTCTAGCTGCATTCCTCTGAATTCCTCTGTCTGCTTCGTCCCATGTCCGTACATTTTCATGAAATTGAAACTGCCAACATGTCTGTGCTCGTATCTGTGTCAGTGCGAACTTTAATTTCTTCATAAGCACGATTGAATTAGTTATTGACATTCCATTGGCATTTATAAGTTGTTTCGTTTCTCGTTCGAGGGAGAGTAAAAAGCGCCAAGGGAGCAGAAGTTAGAAGAGTGTTTATGCAACACACATTTGAAAATCAAATCAGATTCTACAAGTCAATAATCCCGCACATATATATATGTATGTAGATCAGTGCTGGGTACGCATACATTCACCCCGGCCGTTTTTTGCGTTCGTATGAGAAGAAGCACCAAGTCGGACCTTGTGGAAGTGGTTGCGAAAAAGAAGCGTTCCCTGCCGACTATGTAGAACAGACTAACCTAAAGAAGCGTTCGTTCAAGCATCTTTTTCCACCAAGAAAGAGTAAATGTAACCCGAACAGCTTACCGCGTGTATAAATTGTCCTTGTGCATCTCCATTATTTTGGCCATGGTACTTCAATCCCTTGTATGTTATCTGAAAAATAAAATAAAGGCATATAACTATTAAATTAACTACATATATAAAAAGGATATCAGATCAGTTTGAATACTATTTCATAATCATTTTTATTATAACTCACCGCATTTCGGTTAAGGTACGGTGCAACCCTTGCTTTCTTTCATCACTTCTCACGCCAACACGCTCTTTAAGATTGCCCCCCTTCCGATAGATCAGCACACTACACGAAGCAGAGTGAGAGAGAACGTACAAAAAACAAAAAAAGCTGCTGGACGGGGTGGGTTCATCCTCTGCAATATAAATTTCCTCAATCTGGCTATAATAATCCAATCGGATCCCAATTCGTTGATCTGATAGATATAGTTCTTCCCTACGGAATGTGCGAGATTTTTTCTCTTTGTGGAGGCGGAAGAGGGCGGGACTAATTTTTTAAATAAACTGGTTTAAGTGTGAGAAGACAGCAGTCTGGAGGCAAAGTTCGGTGGCTCTAGCTCATATAGTCTCTGAGAACTAGCCGACAAACAAGACGTACAGACGGCTACAGACGTACAGACGGACAGACGTACAGACGACGTACAGACATGGCTATAAAGATTCGACTATTGATGCTGATCAAGAATATATATACTTTATGGGGTCGGAAACTGCTGCTCCAACGGGACGCTTGAGTCCAGACTTTTGCCACTGTTGGTGTCGTTGCATGGATGGCATTTGACAATAAAGTTTTGCAACTGAAAATGCAAATACGTGATGGGTGCGGTAGAATCTGTGTCATTGTCACAGACAAAGTCTTTCAAGGAGGTAAAAGCAAAGGGAAATTAGCAAACCAAATTATCAGCAATCCTTTCGGGACTCCCGAATAATGTATCCGTATAGTTGTCACTTGCTTTGACACAGTCGTGCACACAGGGCGAAGGGCACCAGATGCACCCTCTTTGGATTCTTCTTCGACTCCTTGACCTTGTGCTGATCAAGATCTACTAATTGACCTTTCGACTCGCTAATCCATTCCATTGTCTTGGTAGGCCAGTCGCAGCCCACATCCCAAAACAACTGTTAATTTTTTTAGTCAAAAGCTTACTCAAAATTTACCTCATTACTCTCTCTGAACAATCGCTGTTCAAATTGAAAGATCAATTAAAATGTACAGTTAAAGCTTACAGAAAAAAAATTTAAGAAATACCTTTCCAAAGAATCAAGACGGATTTTTATCCGCGGTACTCGAAAAGTAAACGGATAAAAGTCATAAAAAAACGTTTTCGACCCCATAAAGTATACATATGTACATACGTATGTATATTCTCTATCAGTATCAATAGCCAAGTTGAGATAAAAGGGCGTGTTGGTGTGAGAAGTGATATAGATGTATGCAGATGACAGCTGTGGCAAAAAATGTAAAATGTAACTTGTATAATTTAAAAAATCATAAAATCAATCCTTACATATCTTCTGACTGCGTACAGGTATAAAAGTTAGGACTAGTTTAGACTCACAACGTCTTAAATGCCTTTTCGAATTAACCATTTTCATAACTATTGAATGGGCATCGGACACTTTCACGCTCAAAAATAAATTGAAATAGCAGCAGAGGCAACCTGGGATAGTAAATAGATATCGTCGCCAAGTGACATGATCTGGCAACGCCAAAGAACGTTTGCGCCCCCAAGCACCCTTTCTATTCAAAATTCGATGGTATCTAGTTTCGCCTCGTGCTAGTAGCTGTAAACACGAATTACAAAAGTTTTGCAAAAAATGTTTATGTGGTAAAGACACAGAGCCCTTTCATCTATTATTTACGTTTATACATATATACATTTGTACATATAAACATACATATAAATAATGTATGTCAGTTTCCTTTTTCATCTATATATCTTCTTTCGATATTATTCTCCGAAAAAAGTGTATGAGCTTTCGTTCCAAGCCAGTCGGGAGTAAGAAAGTAATTGAATCAAAAAAGTTCAAATAAATTAATAATAAACCTCAACTAACATTTAGTACATGAAATAAAAGTTTTAATTTAAGTTTCGAGGTTTTTTTCGATTTTCGAAATGATCACTACTATTTCATTGAACAGCAGATTTTATAGGGATGTGTCAAAAATTATAAAAAACAAGAACATGGAATGCAAATGTTCCAGGATAACTTCTGGGTTCTAATGTTTAAATTATGCTTTCTAAAGAGGTACTATTTTTTTAATTTGGATGAACTGAAACATCGCAAATATAGTTTTGAAAGTGGTGAGGTTCTGCCCTACTATTTCATTGAACACAGCTGTAAATACATACATATGTACGTACACACATACACACATACATGTGTACAATGCGTTCATAGCCGCCTTTCAAGTTTTCTGAAAACATTAAATCTACGTTTCGGATCCTGGCGCATTTGTCATAAACCAAATAAAAAGTTTGCCCACAGGCGTTGAGAAATTACATTTAAATTGCAAATTTTAAGTGAAAACATATACTCCACATTATAAAGGACACACAATTTCTGAGGAAAGACAGACTCAGGGATGAGTGAAAACCGAAAAAATGGAAAAGTGAATTCAAAACAGCTTTACCCAGACATTATTTTACTTTGGTGCTGTCAACCACCCTTCCACTCTTTGTACCCCTTACTATGAGTATTTTCTTGTTTTCCTCTACATATTTCTCAGGATTTTCCGATTTTTATTCAAATGTTCTTTTTTGTCCTCAAGGTTCAGGTTTATCATATCCCCAGCTATGGGAATATTAACGTTAATAAGAAATCTTTAAAATTTTAATTCTTAAAATATCAGAGCCGAAGCTCCACAGAAATTCCAATTCCACTAAGTTTGCTTTGCTCTCTTTTTATTCGATCTGCTAAATCGAAAATGAATATTAAATTAATGTACAAACATGCCAACATATCTATGTATGTATGTATTGATGTATGTATATATGAATGGTTAGACGGCACAAATCCTCTCATATTTGAAATGCCACACAATGGCGAGATTTCATTGTGATTTAGTTCTGAATGTGGTATTACCTAGAAAATGACAAGGACGATAGATGGAATAGAATATGAATATTTAACGAGGTGAAAATAGGTACTCCTCGGCTATCGCGTGTAGTAGGATAGATGAATTGCATTGTGGAGAGAGGTCAGCTGAACAACAGCTTCTTTTAATTACAACTACATTCATACATAGATACATACTTATACAGACATAGATATACTATGTATACACATACGAATGCATGAGTACAAACATATGTATTTCCTGTGTAGTGCAATGTTCAGGCTGCTCTTGGACGAGTAAATAATCAATATCGTTAGTTGACAACAGGTATGCCAGCAGCATGAAAGTACTGCCGTATCCAGAGCAGACTTTGTTGTCAAAAAATATGGAAATTCAACACCCTTTCAAAAGATTTACCCGAGCAAATAGCATCCCCTGATTGCTCAATTGTCGTTTTTCTGCTGATTGCAGATGCAGTTCCAACAGCAAATTGGAAAAAGCTTACAGTTTGCTTTACGTGCCCAGGCCTGAATGAGTACAAATGCTGGCCAACCTCTACACCACAGAAAAATACCCAATTCTGTCCAACACAGGATAGTGGCATGTCCCTCCTTCTCCTTTTTTGTTGTTTGTGGGCAACCTTCGTATGGATCAAGTTCAAGTGCTTGCCCCTAAATAATTGCCGAGACTTTTGCTTCAACAATAGTGACGATGATGAAAATGAATGAAAATGAAAAAGGCGTTAAATGCAGCTCGTTTGGTTGAACAATTTCAAGGTTATTTGATGCCAACCCCTCCACCAACATTCTGGTGGACTGTAATCGGTGCAAATTAGCCATGGCGGAAGTGCCAAAAAATTTTCACACTCGAAATGACCAAACACTAACAAGCGAGTGTGAAACTAATCGTGAATTTTTTCCTCTTCACTCACATTTAAAGAGAATAAGTTGTGCAACTCTTGGTCAAACGTAATCATTTCGCTGCACACTAATAACAAAATTTCACCCGACAAAATTTTACTTTTTATACCCGGTACTCGAAGAAGAGTAAATAGGGTATATTGTATTTGTGTGAATAACGGTTGTATGTAACGCACAGAAGAAAACTTTTCCGACCCCATAAAGTATATATATTCTTGATCAGCATCAAAAGCCGAGTCGATTGAGCCATGTTTGTCTGTCCGTCTGTCCGTCCGTCCGTCTGTCCGTCTTGTTTGTCGGCTAGTTCTCAGAGACTATAAGAGCTAGAGCCACAAAACTTTGGCTCCAGACTGCTGTATGCTCACACTGAAACCCGTGTATTTCCAAAATGAGCCACGCCCCCTTCCGCCCCCTCAAAAGGGCGAAAACCTCCCAAATCTACAGTTTTGAAGATAAAAGAAAACTAAAAACGCCAATTCCGTAGAGAATGGCCATATCTATCAGATCTCCAAATTGGGATCCGATTGGATCATTATTATAGCCACAATGGAGAAATTCATTTCCATTGGCTAAACCCACCCTGTCCCGCAGCTTTTGTTGTTCTTTTCACATTCTCTCATTCACACTCTGCTTCTGCTTCACTCGGCCTCTGTCTCTGCCCTCCCTCTGCCACTGCCTCTTCCGACTTTTAACCCACCCCGTCCCGCAGCATATATTTGGTTTTTTGTGAGCGGGCGCTGCCTCTACCTCTGCCGCGAGTCTGCAGAGTGTGGGTCTAGGGAAGGGGGGCGAGCTAAAGGAGCGTGTTGGTGTGAGAAGTGTTTAAAATTTGACAGAACACCGCTAAGGTGCAGATGTAGTACTGAGCACACGTCCCTTTTCGTTTAGAGATAGCGCATATATTTTCCACAGTTGCAATTGAATGAATTTGGTCGTTCTAAAGTGCTTATCTATAAAGTTTACCCAACAACTTTGTGGGTTTAGCTTACCGTCTGGAAAATATTATGCTTTGACCTCATGATAAGTTCAGAATTATATCCTATGTCTTCTATTTTTTTATCCATTTTTTAAGGTACTGCTCATTAAAATCTATGGAGTGTCGGATGAGCTAACATTGGTCGACTGGACTGGACTGACTCGAATTGAATAGAAATTTTACCTTTAAAAAAAAACTGGACTGTTAACAATTTTATTTTACCTAATATTCACTCCATTTAATGCAGATTACTTTATAAGCTACTAGTGAAAATTTCACCAATAAAATATTCACTAAATACGTTTACTTTGTTTTCTACTCTCACAGCTCTACTGCAAAAACTAGCATGAAAAGCTAGTCCGGATGCTAGGCTAGGACGGAGGCATTTGTTTGCCGCGAAGCTATAATTAATGATGAAAATCACTTAAATCACATAGAACTGCTAGCCGCAAAAGGGAAGGAAGAGACAAAAATCACTTCGGACTATTAGGAGAACGAATCAAGACCACACGAAGAGGACAGCAGTGACCCATGGACAAGAGATCAAATAGTAACGCTAAAATGAAAGGACCTAAGTCTAACAAAGAGTCGAGTACTACGCTGGATGTGAATCTGTGGGAGGTAAGTGTACAGTTTGCTTGCTGCAACTATAATTGCATAATTAACAATACTACCCGACTGGATTTTTCCGCTTCGAACCAAATTTACTTTTTCTGAAAGATATGGGGCTGAGAAATGGTTGGATGATAATTGTTTGTTTATCTATGCCAGAACGTTTTTTTTAAGAATTTTTAAAATCTGGTATTGTTTAACAATTTATTAAAGTGTGTAGGGCTTCTTTTTTTACATAACTTAGGTATCTTACATCTGGTTGTAATGTACGTAGCCACTCTAGAAATCTGATGAATGCATCTATAATGTATCCCCAAAAACACTGTGGTTTTAGCTTACCGTCTCGAAAATATTAAGCTTTCAAATGAAAAAAATATGATATTTGTGCCCTATTTTGTAAGAAATGTTGACTTTAAAAACTAAGCTGCATTTATCAACTTTTTAGAATGACAAAGTTCATTACAACCAGATGTAATATAGGGTATAGAGGTTATAATAGAGGGTGCGAGCGAGCAAGAATAAGCAAACAAAAAACAAGCACAAGAAAAGCTGCTGGACGGGGTGGGGGTAGCCCCTGCAAATTTATTTCTGCACTCTGGCTATAATAATGATGCAATCTTATCCCAATTCGGTGATCTCATAGATAAAGCCATTTCGTACGAAGTTGTATTTTTAGTTTTCTTTTATCTTCAAAATTGTGGATACTGCAGATTTTCGACCTTTGTGGTGGTGGAAGGGGGCTTTGCGAATTTTCTAAACTAACTTGATTCAGTGGGATTTTACATTATTCTTCACACAAAATTTAGTGACCTAGCTCTTATGGTCTCTGAGAACGAGACGTCAAACAAGACGGACGGACAGAATTACATGTTTGTTACATTTTTCTACCACAAGTACAATACCCCCTATTTAATCTTCGAGTACCGGGTATAAAAATTTGAAATGTTTTAGTTTCTCTGCACAAGATGAACTGTGAAAACGGGCATTGGGCCAAACAGTTGTAGGTTATTCCACAGACTGATCCACCAAAATATTATTATTTTGGTTCCGTGCATTCCAGCAAAACGAAGACCGCTTTACCACCATCGACATGCCGGGATCCAGGGCATTGTGCAAGAAGGGCGCTGCAGAAGTGGTTATCGGAGGGGGCGGCAGAGGAACCGCACCAGCAATGGTGCCAGCGGTAGGAGCTCTGTCCCGGGTTGTCTGTCCTTCTAATGCATCGGCCTTGGCCAAGGACGTCGTGTCAACAGCAAAGGCATCCAAGGCAACAACGCAAATGAGCACCACCCCCACAGCCCTAAGCATTGCTGGCTGCGCCTCTGGCACTGCTCTGGTTACACTCGATTCCGCGCTCGTGGAGGCTTCCGATGCGGAGTCTGAGCCTGAGCGGGGCAACTGGAGCGGTCGCTTCGACTTTCTGCTCTCGCTGCTGGGGTACTCCGTGGGCTTGGGAAATGTGTGGCGCTTTCCATACCTGTGCTACAACAATGGCGGAGGTAAGTGTCAGTTATGCTGGCATACATACATATGCACGAGTATGAATGTATACAATTTTGCTTTTGCTCCCACCTATTTTCAGGGAATACTTATTACTATAATTAGAGTTATGTATTATCATCTTTGGGTTAATTACTATTGTTTTCCATTTCAATCAGCATAAGTTAATAGTCCATCTTATGTGCAAGACACATCTAATGTGTCTTAAGTTAGAATTCGCATTGCTCCTTGCAATTGAATATTTTTGCGTGAACATTTAAATTCTTAATTTAAAGCATCGGCCAGCCGAAGCCCGAATTAATTTCTGGATCGTACTTATTTATAACTGCTGTTTCCTCTTCAGGTGCTTTTCTGATTCCATTCACCATAATGCTGGTGATTGCAGGGCTGCCGCTAATGTTCATGGAACTGTCCTTTGGACAATACGCTGCTTTGGGCCCGGTGGCCGTATACAGGCGGTTCTGCCCTCTGTTTCGAGGCCTGGGCACTGGCATGATCCTGGTATCGGCTATCGTTATGCTATATTATAACCTTATCATTGCTTGGACCATATTCTATATGTTTGCCTCGCTGGGCACTACGCTTCCTTGGCAGAACTGCGAGCCGGAATGGAGCACGAAACGTGAGTACCTAAACGAAGCCCTCGAGCTGGGCTGGGACTGCGGCGGGTAAGTGGATGAAAGTGGCTACAATTAATTAATAGCCCAGGACACTCAAGACAATAACCAATGGAGCAATACGCAATAAGATTCTGTCTTACTTTTGTTACCTTTTTGGGTAATAAATTAAGCAAAATGCAAGCCGCCAAAACTTGAAGTTTATTATACCCGGTACTCGAAGAGTAAATAGGGTATATTGTATTTGTGGGGAATAACGGATGTATGTAACGCACAGAAGGAAACGTTTCCGACCACATAAAGTATATATATATTGATCAGTCCGTCCGTCTTGTTGAGCGCCTGGATCTCAGAGACCATAAAAGCTAGAGCCACAAAATTTTTCATCCAGACACACTGTTACAAGTGTATTTCAAAAATGAGCACCGCCCCCGCAAAAGGGCGAAAACCTCCTAAACCTAAAATTTTGAATATAAAAGAAAACTAAAAGAATTCCGTAGGGTATGACCATAAGTATCTATCAGATAACCAAATTGGGTCCGATTGGGTAATGATCCGTTTTTAATAATTATTATAGCCACAATGAAGAAATGTATTTGCAGTGCCTAAACCCACCCCGTCCCACAGCTTATATTTGTTTATTGCACATTCTCTCATTCACACTCTGCTTCGCGCAGTGTGCGGCCACTGCCTCTGCCTCTGCCGCGAGTCTGCAGTGGGTGGGTCTAGGGAAGGGGGGAGAGCTAAAGGAGCGTGTTGGTGTGAGAAGCGTTGTAGATGTAGATGACAGATGAAAAAAAAATGTAAAATTTGACAAAACACCGCTAAGGTACAGATGTAGTACTGAGTGTCGGGTATAAATGTTGAGACGCGTAAGAAGCGTCTCACACGTCCCTTCTCGTTTTTAGCTCAGTTCTGTCTCTTGCTTCATTATTATACCCGGTAAAAAGAGTAAGTGTTAGTAAATTATATTGTATATGTGGTCGGACCCTATAAACTTTATACTATAAAGTATTTATATTATTGATCATCATCAATAGGCAGGTTTATGTACATATGTCTGTCCGTCTGGCCGTCTGTCCCACCGTCCGTCTTGTTTGACGCCTGTTTCTCAGAGACTATAAGAGCTTGTTCCCAAATATTGGGCGAAGACTCATGTGGTACACTGAATCGACTTTGTTTTAAAACTTCGCACCGCCCCTTCCGACCCAACGAAATGAGAAAATGTCTTATACCTATCAGATCCCTGAATGAGATTAGATTGGATTATTATTAAAGACAAAATTCATGTCCAGTGGCTGCCCCCACCCCTTCCAACAGCTTTGCTTATGTTTGTTTGTTGCTGTCATTCTTTCTGGCACATGCAGTGTGCGGTTTTGGGGGAGGTTGTTGGTGTGAGAAGTGATGTAGATGTCGATGACAGATGTAGAAAAAATGTAAAATGTAAAATTCGAAGCAGTAATAAGGTTACATATGTACATATAAATGTACATATATACTGACTGAGTATAAAAGCTGTGACGCGTGCGGAGCGTCTCACGTTCTTCCTCGTTCTGTTCTAGGTAGGAACTGCCCGTTTGTAACGCCTTTAGAACTGATGGTTGTTGTAATATCAACTTTGTGAAACGCCTATGCTTTGAAATGCAAAAATATGTATTTTTTGTATTTATTTGACGTCGTTTAAGGTTATGCTCATCAGAATCTATGGAAAGACGCCTGAGCTAAAATTGCAAACTATAAAACAATATTTCCCAGCCGGTAAGCTAACACCACAAAGCGTTTGGGTCCACTTTCTAGCTGCATCAATCAGCTTTTCAGATAAACAAAGTTCACTAAAACGAGATCTAAGATACTCAACTTCTGTGAAAACACCAACCGCTGTCTCCTAAAAAATATATAATAAAAACTGAAATAGTTAATATTTTAAAATTACTGACCGAAATCTATCAGATCAAGTCGGTTTGGTTCCTTGAGAAAAAAGAGTTCGGTTTTGTGGAACTTAAAAAAATTACTTTTTAATGTAAATCACTTATTAAGGCATTAATTTTTAGTGCAATTTATCACTTATAAACCATTTTACTCTCGGTGACACGTCATCACTTAAGCTACTAGGACATCTCCGTGTTAACGACATCAGTTTGTTGTATGGAAAATCGTCGCTTATGTCAGATGGGTAAATGACGCTGGCGTCGATGTGTTTCCGCTTACGCATCGATGGAGTACTGCAGGGTAACCATCAATCCGATATGGCATATGCCATTGCCATTGAATGTTTTATGCCCACAAGCATTAAAAACTCACATATGTACACACACACACACACGAACAGCTGGGATTTATTAAAGGACAGGGGACCTTGGGACTGTCTCAGTGATGGCGAATACTACTCAGGCTGAGGAATAGCATTTCTCTAGAGAAATTAGAAATCGATGGATAAAGTATATATATTCTTGATCAGTATCAATAGCCGAGTCGATAGAACCATGTCTGTCTGTCCGTCCGTCCATCTGTCCGTCTTGTTTGTCGGCTAGTTCTGAGAGACTATAAGAGCTAGAGCCACCAAAGATTGGCTCCAGACTGCTGTATGCTCCACTGAAACCAGTGTATTTCTAAAATTAGCCCGCAAAAGGGCGAAAACCTCCCAAACCTACATAAAAGAAAACTAAACAAGACGGACAGACGGACAGACAGACATGGCTTTATCGACTCGTCTATTGATGCTGATCGAGAATATATATACTTTATGGGGTCGGAAACGTATCCTTCTGTGCGTTAAATAACACCGTTATTCCCCACAAATACATTATACCCCATTTACTCTTCTAGTAACGGGTATAAAAAGCCATTCCGTAGGGAATGACCATATCTATCAGATCACCAAATTGGGATCCGATTGGATCATTATTATAGCCAGAATGAAGAAATTAAATTGCAGTGGCTAAACCCACCCTGTCCCGCAGCTCTTGTTGTTCTTTTCACATTCTCTCATTCACACTCTGCTTCTGCTTCACTCGGCCTCTGTCTCTGCCCTCCCTCTGCCACTGCCTCTTCCGACTTTTAACCCACCCCGTCCCGCAGCATATATTTGGTTTTTTGTGAGCGGGCGCTGCCTTTGCCTCTGCCGCGAGTCTGCAGTGTGTGGGTCTAGGGAAGGGGGGCGAGCTAAAGGAGCGTGTTGGTGTGAGAAGTGTTGAAGATGTAGATGACAGATGAAGAAAAAATTTAAAATTTGACAAAACACCGCTAAGGTGCAGATGTAGTACTGAGTGCCGGGTATAAAAGTTGTGACACGTAAGAAGCGTCTCACTCGTCCCTTCTCGTTTTTTTTTTTTACCTTTCCATCTATTTAGACCATGTACAACTTATTTTGTTATTTTAAAAATGAGTATAATGAGAAGTCGCCCAACCAGTGTGGTACGGCCGTGAAGCACTGCTTCACACCAGTGGAGGCGTCGCTGCAAGTAGCTTCGAAAACATCCGGGGCCGCTGAGGAGCTGTGACAGGTGTTAATTTACCTGGCGGTGGTTTTTATCGACTCAAGCTTTGATGAATGGGATAAGCTGATGAGTCTATCACAATTTCGTGGCCGTATCCCAACGGTTTTGCCACTTCATAAGTTTTCCGCTGGTAGTAGGTGGATCACTCCTCCGCTAGGTACAAAAACGGTGCTATACCCTTAACTTTGACCTTATGCCGTTTTCCACTGCCAGCAACAAATATTATATAAATATTCAAATGCTTTTGACCTTTTCATGCATAATTCTGGAGCAAGGGAATGATAGGGGCGATGAATATCCCGCCATTTCAATTTATTGACGGCTTTTGCAGATTGCTTCTCGTATGTCCAGGCGGATCAGTGCGAGGCCATAAACGGAACCTACTACCTGCGCACCTGCTACAATTCAACCATGGCCGACGAAAATAACATCACGGCCCTGGCCCTGCATGCTCTGAAGCGTCCACCAGCCGAGGAGTACTTCAAGTGGGTCCTCCAACAGAACCCCTTCTTTCCTATTTTAAAGTGATTTTCATTGGATTTTGCAGCAATTTTGTGCTAGGTCTGTCGTCCGGAATCGAGGAGACTGGCAGCATTAAGACCTCTTTGGCGGCCTGTCTCTTCATGGCATGGGTTATTGTGTTTCTCTGCCTGTGCAAGGGTGTGCAGTCCTCCGGCAAAGTTGTGTACTTCACCGCTCTCTTTCCTTACGTCGTTTTGGTCATTCTTTTTGTGCGGGGTGTAACCCTTCCCGGCGCTAGTACTGGCATACTATTCTATCTGACACCCGACTGGAAGCAGCTAGCCAATGCACAGGTAGATATTGATTCACAGCCCGGACTTTCCTGTCATTCATTTTTTCTTGTTCTGTTCTTAGGTGTGGGGTGATGCGGCGGTGCAGATATTCTTTGCCCTGAGTCCCTCCTGGGGTGGCCTGATTACCCTATCCTCCTACAACAAGTTCTCCAACAATTGCTACAAGTAAGTGAACCATTTCTTATCTAAAGTATCAAGCATTGAAGAGCGTTGAATCTCCGGCAGGGACTCCATGATCGTGGCTTTCTGCAATATTGCTACCTCGTTCTTTGCTGGGCTGGTGATTTTCTCAATCATTGGCTTCCTGGCTCATGAGCTGGATGTGGATGTGGGAAAAGTGGTAGATCAAGGTGCTGGCCTGGCATTCATTGTCTACCCGGAAGTCGTGACCCGTCTGCCAATTTCCCCTGTGTGGTCGGTGCTCTTCTTTGTAATGCTTTTGACCCTGGGTCTGGACTCGCAGTTCGCTTTAATGGAAACCGTGACCACCGCCATTTTGGATAAGTTTCCCAACCTGCGTCACTCCAAAATCTGGGTGGTGCTGTCGGTGGCTATATTTGGGTACATCGGCGGACTCGGCTTCACCACCAATGTGAGTCTCAATGTGGATCTAATCATTTTGAAGTATTTATTTATTTTATTTGTTGTCTTTAGAGCGGGATGTATTGGCTACAACTAATGGACAAATACGCAGCCAATTGGTCTGTCCTACTCATTGCTATCTCTGAGTGCATTCTTATTTCCTGGGTGTACGGATCACAGCGTTTCCTCAACGACATCCAGGGCATGATTGGCAAGAGATCTTGGCTGTGGAACATCTTCTGGGGCATCATGTGGCGGTACATAACACCAGCCACTCTTCTGGTGAGCTTTTATCAGCACACGAACTGCGAAAGTTGATTGAGCTTTGTTCCCATTGCAGTTCATCCTGTTCTTCAATTGGGTGGAATACAAGCCGGCCAAGTATGGGCACTACGTCTATCCCTTGTGGGCTGACACTGTCGGATGGATCATCGGACTGCTGCCAGTGCTTATTGTGTTCCTGGTAGGCTTTCAGCAAATCTGGAAGGCGCCCATGCAGCTCAGCTTCCTGGAGCGTATCAAGTTTCTGCTTAGACCTACCGCCGAATGGGGGCCGGCGGGCAGACCCTGCGTTAACCTACATGCCGAACGTTATCAGACCCAGAACTACGATGGCGTGACCAATACACAGATCCTGATCCATGGTTCCTCCGATGTGCCAGCATTCGAGGATGCCGAATCTAATGACAATGGCAGTGGCAGTAAGACCCAAAATAGATGCTGCGACGAGGCCATGCAACTTTGAGAACGGGTTAAGGCATCCTCGTTGACAGTGGTGACCGTTGATGTGGACGTTGATGCCCTGCCACTGGCAACTGTTGGCAAGCTGCCAGGACCAAGCATCCTAAAGTCCTCAGCGAGGCAAAGAAGCATTCAACATGCTATAGTTGAGAACAGTAGCCACAGGAAGCAGACCCAGGCACTCACCCATACCCAGACCACTTCCAGCAAGCAGCCTGTCGTCTTGACAGATAAGGAAACAGTGAACAACCAAACTGTTGAAAAAAACTCGGTTGGCACTACCAAAGTTCTGGCAACTGGCACCATGAGCAGCGGACGTGAGTGCATCACCATGTCCACATTCGCAGGCGTTGGGGAGAAGGACTTCAAGAAAGTAAATCCACCGTCACTTGGAACTCTTGCTTCAGTCAAAGTGTCCGGGACCTCTACTGTTACATCTCCTACAAAAGTATCGGCACCTGCAAAACTCGGTGCTGCTGTAACTCCAGCCACCATGGCGTCACCGGCAGCAGCCATATCCTCTATCGTGGATGCCATCAAAATGACTTCGTCAGCAGAGGCGGCTGCTTCTTCAGTCTCAGAAGGGATCCCGGAGTTAGCTAAGTCCAAAACCATTCCTGATGCTAGGGTATCAGAGGACAAGCCTATATCAGGCCTCACTATAAATCCCACTGAAACGAAACCAACTGCACGTCCGACAGAAGCTAAGCAGAAAACTAAACCTTCATCGACTGCAAACGTTAATATGGCCAGCACCACAACAGTCAATGCCAAAGTGATTGCGAATGCATCAGATTTTCCCAAACAGAAGGCGCAAGTAGCTGACTGTATAACGGGCACATTTACCCAGACAGGTCTTTGTGATGCCAAGGAGAGAGCGAAGCCAACTACTGTCAAAGGATGGTCGATTTCCAAGATTTCAACAACAGCAAGCACAGCGAATACTGCAACTGCAGCACCAAACCCTCAAGTAGCAAAATCCATAACAGCGGGTACTATTTCTACCAAAAGCACAAGCACAACAGCCAAGGGATCATGTTCAAAGCCTACAACAAGTGGAGCAAAAGCCACGCCAGCAACTGCCAAGCTATCCGAGGGATCGGAAACCGCCCCAAGGGAAATAACATCTGTCAAACCATCATCCACAGCTCTTCAAACAAAACGGAGCTCTGCAACATCAGACATCGCAACAAAAGCAAAAAACAAAGTGAAGGCCACCAAACCAGGCACTGTAAAGCCAATAGCTTCAAGTCCCACAAAGTCGACAGTCAAGCCAATAAACCCAATGGCGACCAGTCCCACAAAAACAGTAAAAGGAAAGTCTATAACATCACCTGGAACCTCTGCCAAGACAGCATCATCAGCTGGAACGTCTGGTAAGACAGGAGCACCTACCAGTAAGACTACTAGCAGTCACGGCAAAGCGAAGGCATCTAAATAGGCAGACGAAGAGATCTCGTATTCTCTCATACAAATAAAAAACGGTTTGAATGAAAAAGAACTGTTACATGCTACCCCTACCTAATACTATTTTGATAAGTATATCTACAAATACATAAATATACATATGTACGTATATATTTATGTACATATGTATGTACATATGTTTGTTAAAAGCTAAGCAAACAATTTTTAAGGAAGATTTAGTTTGGCTTTTACTTTTGAGAGGCAGGCAGAGGTAGGTCAGGAGGAAGGTTGGATATGGACGGGGACTTCCAGCGAGAAAGACAAAGCAGAACATTTTTCATGTTTCCTATGAGAAAAGTACCTATTTATGAGAATTATATTCCTAAGTACATACCCACAGATGATATAATAGCATGGATCGGATTGGATGTGGATGCGAATTTGGAAAGACTTAGCCATTAGGTAGATAAAAGATCCAGCTCATCGCGAAGTTGTTCCTGTAGTTTAGCTATGTACATACATACGTGTACAAACATGCATATGTATACATATTTATAAGTAATAGCACAGCGCATACAAAAAAGTGTGTGTAAATGAGAGTGGGAATATAGATTCCAATTTGATCCCTGAGATCAATTCGCAGAAAAAAAGTTTGAAGTTAATAAACAATTTTATCGGCACAAATATTCAAATATAATAAAAACAAGAATTTCATGGTTTTTTGTTGTTGTTGTATACCACACATTTTTTCAAATATTTTTGAAAGATTGAAAGCGGGACGGATTAGAAGGGGTAATTTTTTTATTTTGTATATAGTGATCCTATATACATATGTAAATACATATCTAAGTATGTATGTATGTATGTTTATCATAACCTGTGGAAATGCATGTGTTTGTTTTCCCCATGTTTTCTTAGCCTTAACCAAATGAGAGACTAATGTACCTAACTGAAAAAAAATTAAGTTGCATCAGATCCTACATTTTTATGTATGTTTATGATCAAGAATCGAAAATTCAGTTACAAATGTTTTTTTGTGTAAGATCTAGAAATACTAAGCAAACATCAAAATGATCATATAAAACAGAACAAATAAAAAAAAAAAAACAAGAACTATTACCACAATTTAAGAATTTATATAACCATTGTTGTGTATTCATGTTTGAAATGTAATTGATTAGTTGCCAAAATTAACGGCAAATAAACGAGATATTAAAACACTTGTATTATTATATACATATACAAAATAAATATAACAATATATACAAATGTACACAAAGAAATGTACATATACACTATATTTATACATATGTATGTATGTAGATACATTTTAACACAAACATTTGCATGTGTTTATACCTGTAGTTAGTTTAGAACATAAATTATGTGTTAAGTTTGTTTTATACCGGTATTGATATTTTTGAAATGTTCGTTTTGTCCATTTGAATAGTGTCAATTCGAAGAGGTAAATATTTTGCCATTTTAATGTATAATTTAAGAGGTCATAATATGCTTAAGTGTGCCTATCAATATACATATGTATGTACATGGAGTTATTTTGATTGAAAGCCTTCCCCAAAAAAACTCGGAAAAGTGCGTGATAGATAAATTGAAAAAGCTCAACATAGTTTTCGAATAAAAATTTTAGTCGTAAGTCATGAAAACAGGAATATTAAATAAAAATTAATGTCATTTGGGTTGGTTTTTGTTGTTGTTGTTTTTTTATCGAATTAGCTGTGACCCAAGCCTACATACATACATACATATGTGCATATGTACCTTGAACCTATTATTGTCATACACACAACAAAAAGATCATATATACATATATGTATTTATATATATCATATATGTACATACATTTGTATTTCTACATATATACAGAAATATATTTACAAGTATTTGCATACGAATAATCCATTGATGTTGCATGTGTGTTAGTTAAAATGGATGTGTACCTGTGACAAAACCACGAGATTTGATTACAATCTAAGCAAAAAACAAGCGCAAATAGAGTTATTAACAATAATATACATACGAGTAGATACTGAAATACATAATGGCTGTCAAACAATATGTAGGTATATTCAAAATTTGAATAGGTAATATCAAAAATCAAAAGCAATTTGCTCTGAAAGAAAGAAAAACCGAATACCTGTCAATTTAGATAGTTGTTTGTACGTGGTTTTCATTATAAGAAGAAAATGTGGAGTTGTAAGATAAAAATGTACTACTCCCAGTACAGAGTATATTCATATTTACATACAATTTTGAACTATTGAGTGAATAGATATCGGCGTTCGGAAAACAATTTATTTAAAAGATATTCATATCGATGTACCGAATCTAGTCCTGTAGCATTTGTAACATCCCACCCGCTCAATGTACAGAAACATACACATGTTTGCTTGTATGTATGTATGTATGTATGTACATGTACATACATACATACATACTTTCTTGGGCATTTCCGCGAAAATGTCAACAAAGCATGTCAAGCAACTTCTGTTTAAATGTTAATGTTGCATTAATAACATATGAGTTATGAAAGGACTAACACTAAATAATTCATATAATTATAAATCACTAATAAATTATTAGAAATGGGAATGAAATGTGTCACCAGAACGGAAATGCCCATATGAACAGAACAACAAATATATATATACAGACATCTTAAAAAGGTGGATCATTGAAAGTAGAATGTATACACATACTCGTAATATACTCAAACAATAAAAAAAAAATAAAAAATATAAAAATCATTGAATTAAGGAGAAGAAACGGTAAAGGATTATTTACAATAAAAATCAATAAAAATCGAGAAGGGACGTGTGAGAAGCTTCTTACGCGTCACAACTTTTATAGCCGGTACTCCGTACTAAATCTTTACATTAACGGTTTTTTTTTAATTTTACATATTTTCTTCATCTCTAGTCATCTTTAGCTCGCCCCCTTCCATAGAGCCACACACCGCATAGGCACGGCAGAGGCAGCACACTGCAGATGCAGAGTGTGAATGAGAGAATGTGCAAAAAACAAATAAAAGCTGCTGGACAGGGTGTGTTTAGCCACTGCAAATTATGTTCTTCCCAATTTGGTGATCTGATAGATATGGTCACTCCCTACGGAGTTTTCTTTTATCTTGAAAATTGCAGGTTTTGGAGCTTTTCGCCCTTTTGGGGTGGCGGAAGGGGGCAGGGCCCTTTTTTTAAATACACTTGTAACAGTGTGAGCAAACTGAAGTCTGGATGCAAAATTTGGTGGCTCTAGCTTCTATGGTCTCTGAGATCCAGGCGCTCAACAAGACGGACGGACGGACAGACGGACGGACGGAAGGACGGACAGACAGACTTGGCTAATCGACACGGCTATTGATGATCAAGAATATATATACTTTGTGGGGTCGGAAACGCTTCCTTCTGTGTGTTAAATTTTTTCCCCACATATACAATATACCCTATGTACTCTTCAATGGGATTTAATGAGGAGGAACGTCATTCCTTGTGGGGGCGGATTTTATTTAGTGTGATATCAAATGAACCTTTACACAAACTTTTTGGACTACAGCTCTTATAGTCGCTAAGAACGAGCCGTCAAACAAGAGTTTATACTTTATAGGGTCGGAAACATTTCGCCGATCACAAAACCAATATACGAGATACGACCCAGATTTACGAGTACCGGGTATAATTATTCAGAAAGAAAAACTTTGAAAGAAATCAAAATTTAAAATATTGTGAAGGGAAACAAGGATGATAGTTTTCCCAAGGATTTAATAACCGTTATGGGCACCGAAGGCAAATTCCCACCTTTTAATCAATCTACCTCCTCTTGCATTTACGGCATTAATTATGGGTAAATTAATCCGGCCAAAGAGAGGGGCGCGCGCAAAGGGCATCCATCACCACACCACACCACCCCCCCACCCCCCCCCCCCCCCCCCCCCCCCCCCCCCCACCAACACACACACACATACACATATATTCTCCTTCACCGCTTCATAATTCCAAAATTGTATACCTCAAATTTTTGTCTCCGCGCGGACTTGACCTCATGTCATTACTAGTCCGTGAGTCCCAACGCGCAGCACCACAAATTCTTTCTACCCGAAATCGAACAATTGTGTATTTTCCTGTGGAAACAGAACACTGGCACTGGCGACAAAACTGGCGCCACATTATTAAATTGCCGTCGAAGTTCATAAAATTGCCGTCGTAGGTAATCAAATTCCAGTGAACAATTCAATAATTTCAAATTTTTACATGACATCTACAGTTCAACTACATGGCGACACCTAGCGTTGCTTTTAAATACAGTGTGCGTATACATTTTTGCTCCATCCCTTTTTGACATATGTAAATCAAATACTTGGCTTAATTGGGTATACATAAATATACATTTTTTGTTTATAAAGTTAGAATTACTTTTAGTTTTGATCTGTGTTCATTTTTGGCCAAAAAATCTGTGAACTGTCAGTTTTTGACATAAAATTATATTCGACTGTGTGTATTTATTTTATTTGATTTGTTTTACTTTATTTTTTTTTTTTGAGGTTTTAAGTTACCGCTCTACCCTTAGGTAGAGGGGAATTATTTGGCCACCCGCCTTTCAAGGGGGAAATCGCCACGTCGTAATATGTAACTTGTTACAGCTTTGCTCCAATACTTACCTGGCGTAGAGGTTATGTTCCCCACGTGCTTGCAGTGTGCCCAGACACAGGTTATTTTTACTTTATTTATTTCATTTTAAATTGCTCAATTTGTTTGTATATGTTTGTGGAAACATTTCCAACCCTGTTTCACCGATGAACAGAGAGGGCAGACGATCAAAGAAAACATAAATGTTCATGCCCATGCATGTCGGTTTTTCGTGAATATCAGTTACAAGAGGTGCAATATGATCGAAATAACCGACATTGAAAAGGATTCTGATAGACTGAGGGCGTTCCTTTTTTTTAAGGATTTTGGTTTTTTTTTTTCTATAGCAAATTTTTTATACCCGGTACTCGAAGAGTAAATAGGGTATATTGTATTTGTGTGGAATAACGGTTGTATGTAACGCACAGAAGGAAGCGTTTCCGACCCCATAAAATATATATATTCTTGATCAGCATCAATAGACGAGTCGATAGAGCCATGTG